TCCAGATGCACAGGCTCAGTAGTTGTGGCTCACGGGCCTAGTTGCTCCACGGCATGTGGGATTCTCCCAGACCAGGGCTCAAACCCGTGTCCCCTGCATTAGCAGGCAGATTCTCAACCACTGCGCCACCAGGGAAGCCCTAATGGGATTTTTAAAGGAAGCAAGTGATAAAACATGTAGTTGTTCCTCAGAAGCCCAGAGTTCATCTATTTTGCAGAGTGCTATTATAAGGTAGTCATTAGTCATTTGTCTTCATTTGAAAATGAATTTTTGTTCCTACCTACCCCTTATTTTCCTTTCCTTTATCTTTCCCCTCATATTTTATCTAATCCTTGATCATAGTACAGATCAGAAATAGATTTTTGAATCATTTTTATTAGTTTTAAACAGTTTTGTGCTCACCCATTCTAGCTTTGTGAGGCAAATAAGGTTTAATATGTCTCTTTAAAGAAGGAAAAAAGCAGAATAAGTTATGATTAAATTTCACTATTTTTACTTTTAATGCACTTCAGTTTTTTGTCCTGTGGGTCAGTGGTTCTCACTGTTACTTCATTCGTATTGTAGCAGTGTAGACAAAGCACAGCACCCTCACATTAGAGATCCATTTTTACACACTCCATAGTTTTTTTTTTTTTTCAAATCTCATAATCAACATCCTTTCAATAACTTAAATAGATTGACCATGGAGAGGGACTAAGGAGGACGACTGAGATCACCATCTTTGCAGAAGACTTTTAGATGATTCTTTTTGTTCTCTTTTTTCATTTTCAGCACTCCTTGGAATTAGAGAAACAGTTATCATTTTTGACATCTACATTTACAGTTTCTTAATCTATTCTAGTGCTCTCTGTACCTTCAAACCACCACTGCATCTCTTCCCGGTCACAAAAAATGTCTACCATATTTTTCACAAGGTATCCATGACTGCCTTTCAGATATCTGAAATTAGCAATCATCATCCCCTTAATGCATTTGTCCCTTCTCCACTGTAGTAACCAAACTGGAACAGCATATTTTAAACATGGTCCAACCTGTACAGAATAAAAGGAAAGGGGCTTATCATCTCACTTGGTCTAGGTAACTCCTAACTCAGACTCAAACAAAATTTGGCTTCTCAAGAGTTATACCACATGGATGGCTTATATTAAATTTGCCATTTTCCTATATCCCAGCATCTTATTTATAATATACAATTTTTGTTAAGTTTTTTTATCCTAGAACTTTTTTAGAATCTATGTGTAAGAATATATACACTACCATGTATAAAATAGATAGCTAATCGGAACCTGCTATAAAGCACAGGAAGCTCAACTTGGTGCTCTGTGATGACAAAGATGGGTGGGATGGGGGGCTGAGTGAGAGGGAGGTCCAAGAGGGAGGGCATATATGTATACATGTAGCTGATTCACTTCGTTGTACAGCAGAAACTAACACAACATTGTAAAGCGATTATGCTCCCGTAAAAAAATTTAAAAAGAAAATAAAATGTTAATCTGTTGATTTCAGCCTGTTCTTTCAAACTTCAGAAATTCTCTTTGATTCTAATTCAGAAGATACTCCTCTTCATTAATGCCAGTTTACAAATTTGAATCCCCTACATTATATATCTTCATTTAAGTCACAGATGACAGCATTTAAGAGGGAAGGGTCAAGGACAAAGCCCTGTGGCTTATCACAGGAACGTCCATTCAGGTTGATGACCCTCCATCAATGAATTATATTTGACTTCAGTTGGTCAACCAACTATATCAGCATAATTGTATTACTTTTTCTACTGCTGTTTCTTCTTCATGAAGACATAATTTTAAAAAGTTAGTCAGATGTCTTGATAAAATGTATATATTTCCTGTTCCACCAGTCTAGTAAACTTTTCATGAATTTTCTTAAGGTTAGTTTGGCATAATTTCTTCTTAGTGAACTCAGACTGGCTATCAATAGTTAGTGCTAACTGCTCTTAAAACATCTGTTTAATAATATATTCTAGGGACTTTTCAGTTTAATATGTCAGAGTAAGGACATCTTTGCTCCCTTTTCTTCTCTGTAACCAATCAAAATTATGAGAAAAATGAGATATAGAAACCAAAACTCTACCTTTGATGAAAATTGAAAGCATTTTCTCATCCCAAAAAGTAAGGGCTCCCAAATGCACTAAAAATTGTATCAGGATGAAGAAGACACTGAGGATGCCTACTGTTCTGGATTTCAGGCCAAGAATAGAGTCCTAAAAGGTGGGTGGCAGGACCTGAGTGAGAAAACAAATGACCCTTGTTTTGAAACAAAATGGTTTTAAGGCTGGTAGTGAGAACATCCTGGAATACTGTTTGACCACCACAGAGTAGAAAGGAGGTAGAGACTGGAAAAATTAGAGAATACAATACTACACATATGCACATGCACACACTCACACACACACACACACACTACACCATACATCGAGGACTTTCTTGTGAGTTATTTATAAGAATTTATATAGATAACAGATCATGGTCAAACTACTCACTTTCAACTACATACTCTCAACTACTCACTACCATCCTACTCATTCTCTCAGTCCCTCCCCAAAATGATACTTTCACACATAGCAGTGCTAGTAAAGAACTCCTCTAATACAACTTCAAGTAACAATTGAAAAAAAATAATATGGTATTGATGCAAAATATGTTACAAGGAGAAGAAATAACCAATAAAGGACTGTGTAACAACACACAAAACAAACATAGAATACATGAAAAGCTAAGTCAGCAGAAATCATAAAATGAATATAAGGAAAAATAATACTGCTATAGAAATGAAGGAGAATAGGCATGGGTGAAAATGTTCAGAGACATGGAAGACACACTTGAGAAAAATGAAATGGAAAATAACAGTTACAAATTACTAGAGAAAAATGGTAGATATGGAGGACAAAGTTCTATTATATGTATAATCTGCGCTTCTAGGAAGATAAGAGATCAAAGATATGTTTCAGGAAAGCTTTCCTGAAACAAAGACACTTGTGACTCCATAGGCTTAAAGGGAAACATGCTGTCCTAGGAAAAATTCATAAAGATAGATCAAGATATATCCTTGTAGGGCTTCCCTGGTGGCGCAGTGGTTGACGGTCCGCCTGCCGATGCAGGGGACGCAGGTTCGTGCCCCGGTCCGGGAAGATCCCACATGCCGCGGAGTGGCTGGGCCCGTGAGCCATGGCCGCTGAGCCTGCGCGTCCGGAGCCTGTGCTCCGCAACGGGAGAGGCCTCAACAGTGAGAGGCCCACGTAACGCAAAAAAAAAAAAAAAAAAAAAAAAAAAAAAAAGATATATCCTTGTAAAGTAACTGGTATTTGTAAATAAAAGACCCATTCATATGGGTTTCTAGGCCATAAAATCACCCCTCCCCCATTATGTGAGAGATTCTCAGGCAGGTTTTAAATTTCTTCACACCAACATTCAGTGCTAGAACTGAATATAGCAGCCAATGTCTATGTGGACATCAGAGAAAGAGAATGTGACCCACAAATTGTACAACAGCCCAAATATAATTTAAGTATAAACACAATTGACAGATAATTTTACACATGTAAGATGGTAAGAAATATGGTTCCCATGAACCCTTCTTAAAGAAACTTCCAGAGGACAGCCTTGAGATAACTAAGCAATGAACAAAAAAATGGATAAAAGGACTATTTTGAGAAAAGAGCCTATGTAAATGTAAAACTATGACTAATCAACTATAGAAATTATGGCTGCATAAAAGCATGTAAATGGTATTAAACTTGACAATGCAGAAAAAGTAGTATAACAAATAAAAGTTGGGAGATGACAGGGACTGGTTATTTCTTCATAATTTATAGCAAGGAGTTAATAAATTCTATCTAAATAAAGTTAAAATCTATTCTAAAATTTTTCCAACTCACCAGTCTATATTCTATGGAATCTATTCCTCCGGTTTGAAAAGTCTTCATTATGTTTTCTCTTCTCCATGATTCTTCAAAGAGTACTAGAATGGTTCTGGAACCATATCTGCCAGTTCTTTTTAGCATCTTGGGTTAGTCTTCATCTAGAGCTAGAGATCTGAGCTCTTTTAAAGCAGCCAAGGACAACATTCTTGATTTCACTGTATCCATGTTTTTATTTTTACCAATTCCAGGTGGTTTACTGGCATGTTTTCTCTCTTTTTTCTTCCTTCTCTCCCATCCACTAATCCAATTAACATTTATTCAGCTTTTACTGAGTCAGATGCTGTGCAAGGATACTAGCTAGTTAAAAAGAATGCAGACAAGCCCCTGCCCTCAAGAAGTTCAGTCTAGTGAGGAAGCAGACAAATAACTCTAATAAAAATAAATGCTCTTAATATCATGAGCACCCTCCCCCCACCCCAAGAAAAGCTAAAGGTATCTACATGATTCTGGTAATATTCTATGGAGAAAATAGCACTTCATCTGGGTCTTAAAGACTAAGCAGGTCTTTATCAGGCAGGAAAATAAGAAAAGAACATTCCAGGTAGAGAGTAAAAAATAAGCAAAGACATAGAAGGAATGATGATCACTTTTGTTTGATGGTAATGGAAACATACTGGAAAAGTGAGGGGCAGAAGTAGCCCTAGAGACTGTTTTCTGGGCTGAAGATAAAGTCCACTCTTCTGGGTACAACAGCTTCCCCTTGGGTTCAGCAGTATCACACTTATGTTTGATCCCTCACCACAAGACATCAGCCCTCCATGATACCTACCCTCTTTTCTTTGCCCCCAGCAAACACTCCACACTGCCAAGAAGCACTCCAGTTGAGAATTGGATTGATGACCCACAAGACATCGCCCTCCATGATACCTACCCTCTTTTCTTTGCCCCCAGCAAACACTCCACACTGCCAAGAAGCACTCCAGTTGAGAATTGGATTGATGACCCCAGTGAATAGCACACAGCCCTGGCCAGTTCCCACAGGCTGCAGGCTGCCCACTCCTGGTTCCAATACAGTTCTCTCAGGGAGTGCTTCCCAGCCCCCACCCTTCCTGTATCTTACCTTCATTTCCAGGGCCTCTGGCACCTTCTTGCCTTCCCAAGCCCAACTCCGCTTTGTGAAGTAGTTGACAGTGGCAAATTCAATCAGCGCAGAAAATACAAAGGCATAACAGACGGCTATGAACCAATCCATGGCCGTCGCATATGCCACTTTAGGTAAGGAGTTTCTGGCACTGATACTCAAGGTGGTCATGGTGAGAACAGTGGTGACACCTGGGGAGAGAGAAAATGAGAACCAGTTGCCAGTGAAAGACATTTAGAGCATATCTGATGATATCACCAACTTCCTGCTTGAAAGGAGGAGCTACACCCCACCCAAAATGGCCCCTTTAAAGTAAAAACCAGAGAATGTCAAAACAGAATGGTTCTGCCTAGTAACCACCCCATCCCAATTATCACAGGAATAGGAATCTCCAGTATAGCACTTAAAAGTTGTCCTCTAACCTCTGCTTAAACATTTCCATTGAAAAGTAGGTAACCTATTTCATTGTAAGAGAGCTTTTCTAATTAGAAAAACCTACCTTATGAACTGAAACCTGCCTTTCTCTAACTCCTGACCCAGTGACTGATCTCAGAGCTTTCTCTGGCGACACAAGAAAGAAAAGTCTGCTTCTTCATTTCTGGGACAGGACTTCAGAGAGTTGGAGAGGGTGGCCATAGTTCCTTGTGTGTCTGTTCATCTCCAGAACATGGCCAGTTCCTTCTTTCATTTCTCCTCCTTCCCCATCTGGTAGTTATCTTCTGAACAGACCAGAACTGAGCCCAAGACTCAGGACATGGTCTGAGCTTAGTAGGAGTTTCATTTCCCTTATTGTGGACACTATTCTCCTAATAACACAACAAACTATTGTGGAAAATTGTTCTTCAGCTGCATCACAGTCTAGGTCCTATTGAATTCGTGAACAACTAAAACTATTCTAACATCTGTTTCTTATGAGTTTTTGCCAAACCACAGCTTGCTTTTAAATGGATTGATTCTTTTTCTTGGTGGTGTTTATTAACCTAAATTTAAGGCTTTCTTTTATTCACTTTTAAATTCTATTAAAAATTTATTTCTAATCTGTTCATATATTAGATATACATATGAGCTATATAGTGTTGTGGTTAACAATATGAGCTTTAGAGTCAAACTGAAATAGACTCAAATTCTGGCAATCCCACTTACTTGTAATATGACCTTGAACAAGGTGTTTTACCCCTCTAAGTTTTGTCATGTGTAAAATGTGTGTGATGATACCAGACTCAGAGATTTGTTGGGGAATCAAATGAGATAGATGATGTTCATAAAGCCCACAGCACAATATCTGGCACAGAGTACTCACTCAATAAATAGCAGCTTCTATAATTAACATCACTCTTATTTTTACTGTTGTATTAACAATAGTATTGCCATAATTATATAATTAATTATAGTAGTCTAATTATAATCACATTTTAACAATAGTAATTTTATAATTGTTAGCAAGAGTATTCTAGTCTTGAATATCTACACTAGAAGCAGGAAGTCCTCAGTTCTGCCACTTATTTGCTTTGTATCTTGGGCAATTTCTTTAATCTCTCCTTGCCATTTTCTCCCCATCTATGAATATTCCCTACTGTCTCTCCCAGAATTTTGGTGGTGCAGTTGTGTACCCAAAATCATCCAGAATTGAGGAAGAAGGAATAGTCAGAACCTCTTTCTGATTCCTCAAGAAGATGGGGAATGTGACCCTCATGAGCCTGGGTCAAGTAGGGCATGGAAGGTAGTCATAATGGGGTGAGAGATGTTACACAGAGAAGCAAGCAGATATGGCCTATTAACTATTAACTCTACCCAGAGAGACAGCCATGTGCTCTGCAGCCTCTGGACCCTCCTTTCATATCTTGATTCCTTGAGTACCTTACTTACATATTTACTATATAAATGAAAATTCAGACTGGAAAAGACTTAATACAGTTTCAGCAGACAGATTCTAAAGGAGCACCTTTGCACAAACTAGGCAGAGAGTTAGAAAAAACACATTTTAAGCCCTGTCAGGAATTAGCCATACAGCTAGCACCTCATAACAAACTATCTGAATTTGTAGCCTGGTAAATTCTGAGAATGGATCTAAGGCTCTGTAACCCTCTGATCACACTGAGCAAGAAGTGATTCACAGAAGAAACAAGTTATCTCATTTATGGTTATCAGCAAATGCAATTGTCCACACTCACACATTTATAGCAGTGCCAAAGCATGGATGGAGGGAACTATATTGCAACACAAGTATTTATGTGCCATATCTCAGTAGAGACGTTTAGAACTCTAGTCTCTAAGCCTTAATTAAAACTGTCATCTTGTGAAGAGCTCTTAGCTAGTCAGAGCTGGTAGGACCCTCAATCAAGCATTTGGTGCACTTCATGGATGGACAAAGAGGTTTGGCATATTTTAAAAGAGGTCCAGGCCTGCCACCCAGTGCTTCTCTTTCAAGACTCTTCTACAAAGTCTTTTTGTGACTCTGCCCTCCTCACTTCCTTTGAGCACTTCTAAAAGTCTAATATGCTTCTTCGATAATGAATGTCTGTCCCACTCAACTAAAGTTGCTTGAGATAATGCAAGATATTCTCCCCATCTCAAAATCCTTAACTTAGTTCAGATCTGTAAAGTCCTTCTTGCCCTATAAGCTAACATTCACAAATTCCAGAGATTAGGACATGGGTATCATTGGGGGCCATTATTAAGCCTACGACAGTCCTAGTTCTAACCCTTAATTTCACTCAGGCTAAAAGTCTTTCTTGTGTTACCTTAAAACTCAAATTCTTATCTACCAAGACTAGTAGTTCATCTATCCATCCATTTTCCTGCTACAACGGTATAAGCTCATGTGATTAACATTCCAGTTTTCACTTCCTTCTTCCGTTTGGGCCACTGAGTATTTTCTTTCATTTCTTATGAGTTCAGATATTAAAAAAGAGTGTTTTCTATATTTTATCTGCTTTTCTTAGGATTTTGTAGAGGAAGATTTTTCAGCGTATCTAGTTTGTAATATTTCCAAAAATTGGGCATCTTTAATCTACTCCTATATAGATTCTGCTCCCCCAACTCCACTAGAACTGTTCTTTTCAAATCACTAGCAACCAAGCATATCATGATACCCTACAGTTTTTATCTGCATTTTACCTAAACACACAGAATTCACCCCAGAGGATTATTCCCTTCTTCTTGAAACACTCACCTCTCTTGACTTCCATGATATCACACCCTTCTAATTTTTTTTCTTTTTTCTTACTTTACAGGTTATTATTTATCTTCCTCCACTACTGTCTCCTCTTCTACCTGACTGAAAATGCTTCTTCTTTCTGAAACAACATCATTTACTCTCTAACCACACAGTAAAGCTTCAGGATATCAGTAGGAAATATCAGTAGAAAAGTCTTCTTTGTGAGTACTCAGTGTATCCAAGTATATGGACTTAGTTTCCCACCCTTCACTTTCTCCAGCTCTGCCCACTAATTTCCTCTCCTTTTCACTGAAGGCTCCATCCCTCTCCAGCTCCTGAAGCAAACCTGACTGAGACAGGAAGCATTTCAGTAAATCTTAATACTCCAACACTCTTATTACCACTGCCTTTAAAGAATTCAGTTGCTAGAAACACCAAGATCCAGTGACTTAGTTACTAATGCTTGGCTCAGGTGTTCCTCACATTCACTCCAATAATGGTTCTTCCACCTTCCTCACCCCTGCCCCTGCCACATTCTCCATAAAACAACACTCACCAAAGACCGTGCGGGCAGGGACAGACTCTCTGTTGAGCCAGAAAGACACTTGTGACAGAATGACAGTCATGATACATGGCAGGTAGGTCTGGATCACAAAGTAGCCAATTTTTCGCTTGAGATGGAAGTGGGTTGTCATGACGACATATTCTCCTGGAGAGTAAAATTAGACATTATGCAGCCAAATAAACATTGCTGGATCAAGGTGGGCCCCAATTCAGCTCACAAAGCTCCTTAACCTTATACTCAAAACAAGACATTGCAGCACCTCTCAGGTCCACGTAACCAGATCTCTTTAATAATCATGAAGTAGTACAGAGGTGGGTTTTTTTTATTTTTTGGTGAAAATATTACCAGACGCAAGTCTGTGTGCCCAATGCACAGCGACGCCAAACAATACTGAAACACATCGGAGTCTGGAGCAGAGCAAGGAGTATTGCAGGGCCATGCAAGGAGATGGGTGGCTCACGCCTTAAAAACCCCGAACTCCCCAAAAGCTTTCCACAAAGCCCTTTTATAGGAAAGGTGAGGGAGGGATGTGGTTAGTTGTTGCAAACTTCTTGGTGTCAGATCCTTTGTTCTTGAGGTCTCATGGTCAGGTCATGATGTTCCTGCAAACCTCCACCAAAATAAATGTTATTCTCTGTTCTGACAAGAAAAGGAAGGGGAGACATTTATTTCGGTCTCCATGCCTCCTTGCAGCTTTTAACAAATCCCATAAGCAAAGCAATGTCATTACCGCTCAATTTACTTGTTCAAGGTTCCAAGGCTCCGAGGTCAGGTCCTAGCTAAGAGGAGGGGGCACTCTGCAGGCCAGTCACCCTGTCTGGGAATGTTCATCCAGCACCCAATCTGGGTCCTCCCACCAGTGCCCAGGCCCAGCTGAAAAGGCAGGTCTCAGCTGGTGGTGCCCACAGGGCCAGGTCCCCAGACCCTGCCCAGCCATCATCACTGACAGAGCCAGGCGCCCAGAACCCAGCTGGCCCTCAGGCTTTTATTTAAACTGGAGAGAATCTGACGCTTCCATGGACTGTGACGAATGGAGACTGCCACCACTATTACGTTGCTGAGGTGGGGATGGGGGAGAGGTTCACTGCTGCTTCAAAGCCTGAGCTTGGCCAGTGGGCAGTGGTAGAGGGGGCTCTGGAGCTCTGTGGGACACAGCCCTCAGCCTGTCCCCAGGCCCCCCAGCTTACCTGCCAGGCCCCCCAGCTCACCCACCGCCCTGAGGCCAGAAAGCCTGGAGGGCCTGGGGAGAAGGCTGCCATCCACACTCTCACCACACTCTCTGACTCGAGGACCCCTGTGAGCTGACTGTTGTCTGAGTGGGCCCTCTGAACCCCGTGGCAAGGGTCTCATGCTAACCACTGCACACCTACCTTGCGCTTGTTACAACCTAGGAGGGCACTGCAGGGGCGTGGACAGCAGCTGAGCTGAGGGGTTCACACCATTCAGTAGCAGATGTCTGGCATGTGGGTGGGCAGAGGCCAGCATCTTGGGCCCCGGGCCCGGGCACCAAATGTCCCCTGTACTGGCGTGGAGGGACCATTTGGGGAGAGTGTCAAATCCTGTATCCTAGTGCGGTAGTTCCAGTCGGCCCGTCTGTCCAGGCTTGCACTGCCCCACCTTGGGGAGGACCTGGTAGGAGCAGGCAGCCCAGGCAGCTGCATTATTTCCTCCGGGGCCATTTCCTGTCCTCCCTGACCTTGGGGAGGGTAAACACCCCAGCTTCCTGGCCTCCCCTTGCTGCCAGAGGCGCCCCCACAATGCCTGTGCTGGGGCCTTGCACATCAGATGCGATGAGCGACCACCCCTATTACAAGGTCACAATGTTCCAGCCGTAGCACCTTCAATTGGCATTTCACACCAGCAGAGGGTCTCCCAAATTCACAGTCACAACACTGCCATCTCCACTGGTCTTCTGGTCTACCTGTCAGTGTGCCTGCATGGAGACCTGAAACACCCCAGACTCAGACTCACCCAAGACGACAAGCTGCAATGTGTGTGTGTGCCTGAGGCTGCTGCAGCGCACTGCTCTTCCAGGCCTTGGGCGGCAACTGCTGGGGCAAACGGGGAGAGTGCATAAACGAGGCCAGTCCTGAGGAAAATGACCCAGGGAAACTGCCACTGTGGGGACCACTGTGACACTGACTGTTGGTGGAATGGGACCATTAGTGTGCCCGCACTGTCCCTATTACAAAAATATATGCTTAACAGTGTACCAACACAGCTTGCTCAGAGCAATTTTGACACGAGTTCATTCAAGTATATTAATGTCCTCATGTAAATAATAATTAAAAATAATTTCTTCTATAGCATTTGCTATGTAACATTCTGAAAGTATTTAATCTTCACAATAACCCTATGAGGTTGGTACTATTGTTATACTCATTTATGGGTCAATAAACTGAGGCAAAGAGAGACTGAGCAATTTGCAGAAGATTACCCAGCTAGTAAGTGGTAGAGCCTGAATTCAACTCCAGATGGGTTGGCTCCACAGCTTATGCTTTCTAACCACTATGCTCTACTGTTTGAATGGATTTATTGGGTTAAAACCTAAAGTTCACATAGCAGAATATGGGCTGGCCTACATCACCCCTCTTCAAAATAAGAGTGAACACGTGTTAAGCTCTTACTATATACCAAACAACTTTGAGTGTTTTTGGAGTATTAACTTTATACCCTCCCATCAACTCTGTAATCCAATAGTTAATTATCAGTTAATTATAATTATAAAATTATGCTGGATTTGTCAGAAGCATTTTACATATTGAGCACTCCATCCTCCTGGAATGAATCTCTTCACCAAACTTCTAGGCCATGTTGCTCTTCTGGTTTCCCTCCTACATCATGACCTGTCCAATCTCCTTTGCTGGTTCCTTTAAATTCTCAACATTTGAGATTGTCATGACTCAGTACTCTTTTCTGTCTCACTCCCTTGGCATTCTTATCCAGGCCTGTATCTTTAAATAATACCTTCAATTTTGATAATGCCCCAATGTATATTTTCTGCCTGGGCTTCCTACTTGTTATGGGTTGAACTATGTCTCCTGGAAAGATATGGTGAATTCGTAACCCTGAATGCCTCAAAATGTGACCTTCTTTAGAAAGAGGCTTGTTACAGATATAACTAGTTAAGATGAGGTCATACTGGAGTAGGATGGGACCTAATACACTATGACTGATGCTCTCTTTTCAAAAGAAGAGAGAGACACAGGGAGATGTGTGATGACAGGCAGAGACTGTAATAGGGGTGGGGCAGGTATGAGCTAGAGCAGCCCCGCTCAGCCATTGGTTGGTGTCACAGTGGGCTCCTCCCCCAAGCAAGCAACCGTTAGCAATCAACTGTCAACAAACTACCGTTAGTCGTCCCACTCAACCACTGGTTGTTATTCCTTGCTCCAACAACTGATCTGATTTATTGGCCTGTCGTGTGGCAAGCAGAATGAGCTTGGGCTTGGTAACAAATTTTTGGCAAAGCTAGCTAGGAGCCTTTCTGCTTGTGGCCAGCCAGCCCAGGTTGGGGAATTTTCGGGTAAGGCCCTAGCAGCTGCTGGGTCCACTTGCCCTGAGGATCTTCCCTTCAAAATTCCCTGAAGTGGCAGCGGCTGCCCCAGCGCTTGGCAGCTGGAGTAAGGAACCAACATTTGGGAGCCGATGGGCTCCATATAGTAGGGTAAGTCACTCTGGTGTGTACAACAGGGAACATTTTCCCCTCTCAATTTGGGCTTTTGCTCTAAGGGACAAGCCAATTTGTTCATTTGATTGGGGTACCCTGTTGGAGAGGGGAATCGCTGTTGGACTCTACCTGATTTGTGAACTGATTTATTTGCTTTTGTTTTGTATTCATTTGCTTTTGTTTTTGCGGTACGCGGGCCTCTCACTGTTGTGGCCTCTCCCGTTGCAGAGCACAGGCTCCAGATGCGCAGGCTCAGTGGCCATGGCTCATGGGCCCAGCCGCTCTGCGGCATGTGGGATCTTCCCGGACCGGGGCACGAACCCGTGTCCCCTGCATCGGCAGACAGACTCTCAACCACTGCACCACCAGGGAAGCGCCATTTGCTTTTGTTTTGTGTTCATTCATGATGGAATCTGTTTGTGCCTTTGGTATTGGAATTTGCCTGTGCTTTTTGTGTTTTGTTATTCTTGAACTTATAAATATGGGAAATACTCCATCTGTCCCTAAGGAAAGCCCCTTGGGGTGTATCTTAAATAAATAGGCAAAATACAGCTATGGGCCTATGACTAAGGAAGAGATGATATTCTATTGTAATAGTGTGTGGTCCCAATATACGTTAGGATCAGGAGAGTGATGGTCCTTGAATGGATCACTTAATTATTATACAATCTTGCAATTACAGTTGCTTTGTGAAAGAGCATGTAAAAATGATGAGATTCCATATGTAGAAGCATTTATGCTATTGAATCAGGAGGGCAAGAAGTCAGGTAGCTGCCACCTTATGGTACAGCTGTCTGAAAGGAAAACTAAGGGAAAACCTGTTCTACAAAAGGGAGAGGGGGAAAGTGAGAGTGAGGACATGTTATTTCAAAACTTAAAACCCCCTCTGGCCAACCTGGCTCCTCCACTGGCCGAGCAGACTGCAACAGCAGTTGTTCCAACAACCCCCGTGCCACCAACACATTCACGGCCCCCTGTTTCGCCTACTTATGGGGATCAATTAGAAGTTTCTATGTTAACCCTCGGGGCACAGGGGCCTGGTTTGGTGTCACCATTCTAAGACCCAACAGGGCACCCAATTTGGACTGGGAGCCACTTTCGGAGCAGGGCAATTTCCCTTGTGCCAATATCCCATAGGAAGCCTTAATGCAGATGGCCAACAAACTGTGTTTCTATGGATGCACAAGCCATTCTCAACTTCAGATTTGTTTAATTGGAAAAACCATAACCCTACATACCAAGAGGACCCCCTCCATATGACTGAGCTTCTCACTTCTATCTTTGCCACTAACCATCCCTCTTGGGCAGACATTCACACTCCTATGAATATGATGCTTACTGGGGTTGAAAGAAGGATGGTTGTTGACAAGGCTAGAAAGGAATCACACCAGCTCCATCTACCAGATCCAGATGAAGCTCCAGAAGCAAATCTAGCAGTTCCTATTGCTGAGCCTGACTGGGATCCTAATAATGG